TAGAAAAGCAAGATGCGCCAGAAAACTCGTCGGACGGAGCGCTTGATGTTTCGCCGTGGGTCTTTCGTCTCGCCCGATGCGACTACCACAATCTCACTGCCGCCATAGGCAAAAGTGGCTTGGATGAAGACTTTGATAAAGGCCAGAAAGCGTCCCAATGCTCCGTCTTCCAAATAAGCGTTCATCGGGCCCGGGTGATGCCAATATCGGAAGCCGATCTGGTCTCCAGATGGAGATCCGCCCACCGTGATAATGAACATAAGGAGGATCAACCCAATGATCGTAGTCAACTTGATGGCTCCAAACGCAAACTCGGCTTCTCCATATATTCGTACAGGAAGACAATTAACAATAATCATGGCAACAAAGAAAACGGTTATAAGAGCAGCTTTGGGCACGTCATTTGGCCAAAAGTCCACAATGATGGCACAGGCCGATACCTCAATCGGCACACCAATAGCAAACTGATACCAGTAATTCCATCCCAGCGTGAATCCCAGCGCCGGGTCGACAAATCGAGAAGCGAAAACCGGTACTGCGCCCGGAATCGGCAACCAAGCGGCCATTTCGCCCAAACTATTGATTACGCAGTACAGGTTGAAGCCCGTGATGATGTAGCATAGAAATGCGGAGAGTGGGCCTGCTAAAGAAAGGACCTGCCCGCTGCCGACAAAGAGACCCGTGCCGATGGCTCCAGAAAGAGCAAGGAATTGGACGTGACGAGCTTTGAGGCGGCGATCCAGCGTGCCGATATGTTGCTGCTCGTTTTCCGCTTTTTGCGCATCGTAGCTGTCGAAGGCGCTGACAGGCGCGGCAGCAACAGAGATGGCATCTTGAGCTTCGACATCACCATAAGGCGACGACTCGTCTTTTTTGGCCATGATGTCGGGTGTTGCCCGAAAGATAAACAGTAGAAGACTCTCAATGCAGAATGAGACGGCTACATGCAATCAAGTTGTTGTCGATCCCACAAATGCAGCAGTAACATGGGCACATGTAGATATATGTATGTAAAAACAACCCTGGCAAAGACTACATGCAGATATCTCACGTTACGTCTCCAACCGACCGTAAACGGAGGCATTGATCAACTCCAAATCCTAAATCTTGCCTATCTATCTACAAGATCTTCATGTCGGCCAACTCATGTAACCTCAAAATGCGGGCTATCATCCCTCACGTCTCTCGCTTCCCCGCAATCTAGCGAACATTGTCACAAGCTCACAAGATAAGCACCATCGCATCGGAGACTAGGTGGAGAGCTCAGCGCCTAAACGCTTCGTATCTGTCAGTAGCGTACTTGGCTACTATGCCTGTTTCCCCGCGGAAAGACTTTTGTTTCTCAGTTTTTGCCCGAGTTCATTCTGCTATGCGGATCAAAACAGCGTTTATACATGCTAGGCCCTGGGGAAGTCAACGGCGAAAGAGATAGCTGCAGCAGCTAAAGATAATCTGGGGTAAGACGTAACATAGGGCAGCCTACGTGGGGGAATAGCCAAGGCTTTTATGGACGCGAGAGAAGAGCTAGCACTTGGCCGACGAATTGAGCGCCCATGCTCGCACTTATACGCACCGCTGATCACTCAGTCGAAATCTTCGGGCTTCGGTCTATTATGGCCGAGTTGCTATTTGCTATATTCATGTTTGCTGATCTGTACGTCACGCACCCTATGTAGCCGATACGATATCGTAACAACATCGGGTATTTAGACATGTGCCGGTCCGGGTAGGATTTCGGCCATCGGCCTGTTTCATATCAGATAGCATACCAACTATCGAGTTAGAAACGACGGCATTTGTACCTTATATAAGTACGGAGTACCGTATTTCGACTGCCGTATAGATTACCCAGATAGGTTTAAGTGAAACACGGATCCATCGCAGTTTGATTCCAGATGCAGGCAAGATTTTAGCTGATTGATCAAAATCGGGCTTTGCGCTCGTTCTTCTAGCCGCAGAGCCTTATAATCCCTTGTCTGCTCGATCGTTGTTTGTTTACTGAAACCTGTGATTCTTGTTTCAATATTTTTTTACTTTCATGTTACTGATCTGAGCTGTAGCGATAACTCATAAATAGCTGCATGATGTCGCATACAGCTATAGTCGTTGATTACAATCGCTTAGTCCTCTCTCTCTCTATACTATCGCTCAATCCGCCTGTATTCAATTTAATAACCTCACTTCAGAGCCTCGGTATAATCATCGCTGATTAGTAGTATCAAGGCATGCCGCTCCTTAATAAAGAATCCTTCCACGTTTTATGCTTGTACAAGCGCCAGGAACTGATCTGACGTCTCCGAGCTCCGAACGAGAAGCGCCCACAAGGACCCCTGCATTTCACTATCCGCGCCAATCGAGATTCTAGCACGCTGCCGTCTCAACCTCATTCCCTGGCACTTTCTAGATAGAAAGTCACATCGTTCCTCTTTAGCACTCAGATGAGACAACTCTAATAGCTATATACTGAACTTTGGGAAAGCCAAGCATGGACGCGCTGTATAGCCTGAATGAAGTTATTTAGCCTGGAAACATAATCTTGAGCATCTCCAAAAACTTTTAGCCTCAATTTAGCTACTTAAATTGAAGTGGCAGCAGTGTGGTCGTACTCAAAACTTCTGGCTATTTGACAGGTGATGTGATAGTCGCTCTCCAAGCCGAATAGGCCCGTTTGCGAATAATAGCGAATAGTAGCTCATCCTATATCCGCTTCTAGGACAAGAATATGAGGTAGATGTATATGAGGCAATTTTAATTGTATCTGAACAATTCATCTATATACGAAAGAGCTGTATCTTATACTATTACATGTTTACCACAAGACAATAGCGCATCTAAAATTTATATTGCTACTCATTAAACTCTGCACAAACTGTATGCAATATGTATGCCGCTTTATAGTAGTATCCGCACGTTATTTAGTGTCATTCTAAAAGGACATTAATCCACATCAAGCTTCCTTCTTGGTCGCAGCGCTTCCTGAGAGTGGCCACAAAGAGAGTAAGAGTAGTAGCCGGCACAATAGAAAGACTCGCGAGATAAAGCGGGGGGATTTGACATCTAGTTAGCAGTTGCAAAATGCTTGTATTGAACGTGTTGTTGAAGATCCCAGCCTTAAGATCACGCAATGCTTGGAATATATTTGTAAGATATATTCATTTAAATTCTTGGGTTGTTCCACTATCACGACTTCTTCAGATAGAAATTACTATCATAATGCTCAGTTCGCGATGAAGGTCTCGCTGAAATAATAATTTTGGAAACAATTTACCCAACCGTTACAAAACACACAATATACCATGCAATAAACCATTAGACATCATCCATTCCTGCTAGCCTATCTGCCGTAGTTTTCCGGTACAGAATAATATCCTAATAAGGGTTAATTGATATTTTCGTAGGAATATTAGCTTCGCGTCAAATAGATTGTACACGGAGTATAGGCTCCCTGGCAGCTTTTTAGTATACAGGGGTCAACCGACATCCCGGCGGGGATCCTATAAGATGCTAAAAGACGGAATAAAGGCTTAATCAAAAAGAATTCACGGCAGTTGCACGGCAATATACGAAAACAACCTCGACAATTAGCATGTTTCAGCCTAATATCCATGTCCTAGGCTTCGAGGCCAAATACCTTCTATTTACAGTATTCCGGAAAGAATTAAAAGTCGAAGCTAGCCCCTTTACTTGGACGATAAGAGGTGACTTATTGGTGAGGCCAAAGACATATAAGACTACTTTGATCAGTTTGTCAATTATTGATACTCATCCAGAAAGCATCTTCACTCTCTTACAAAATCCTATATTATACACATTACCATCGTTACGATGAAGTTCCTTCAGATTGCGCCTACACTATTGCCAGTGGCTCTCGCCCAAAGCTCCTGTAGCCAATACGCAACGTTCTCTGGCGGCAACTATGCATTGAGCAACAACCTCTGGGGGCAAACCGCCGGCACTGGTTCTGGCTGTATCACTGATGTATCCTTGGGCGGCTCCGCCGTGTGGTCAACGACCTGGAACTGGTCTGGAGGCCAGAACAACGTCAAGGGATACCCCAACATTGCACTCAACATCCCAAATAAACGACTTGTCAGCAGTATCTCAAGCATGCCCACCACTGCCCAGTGGAGCTACACTGGCAGCAGCATTCGCGCAGATGTGGCCTATGATCTCTTTACTGCGTCAAATCCCAACCATGTGACCTATTCTGGAGACTACGAACTCATGATTTGGTAAGTCAGCGAGATCACAGCTCATGACTTGTAGGCTAAACAGCAATTCTATTTGCAGGCTCGGAAAATACGGAGATGTCCAGCCCATTGGATCCTCTCAGGGAACGGTTAACATCGGTGGCACGAGCTGGAACCTCTGGTACGGCTACAATGGCGCCATGCAAGTATACAGCTTCGTGGCACCGGGCAACCTCACCAACTGGAGTGGAGATGTCAAGAACTTTTACACGTATCTGCAGAACAACAAGGGTTATCCTGCCTCAAGCCAATATGTCCTCAGTATGTCATTCCAGCATTGATCACGCGAACTACCTATGGTTTATAACTAACTGGCTGCTTAACAGGTTACCAATTTGGCACTGAGGCTTTCACTGGCAGCGGAACATTGAATAACACTTGGACAGCGTCTATTAACTAAAGATGTGTACCAGGAGCGAGTTTAATGAATGTTTTGGGACAGTTAAAAAATTAGTATTAGTGGATGAGGCACAAATGATACTACAGATAAAAAGTTCCACCTATACGCTTGCTTGTGTGCAAATTTTTTACATTATTATCTAACAGATTTTGTGACTGTTCGACTGTATGCTACCCTGAGATTCCTGGATGTAATGGGTAGGTAGCATTAACTCGAGTTGACTTTTCACTTTTCAAGAATAGTCCTCACTGCAGTTGTGGTATAGTTTAGAAAGTACGATGAATTATGTACTGCTAATGAATGAACACAAGGTCTGTATGTCCAACAATGAGTATATAATCGTCCCAACTTCACTGAGAGCCACCCTTGCGGCCCGCCTCGCGAGCTTTCTCACTGCCAGGTTCAAAAGATCCTCCCGAAGCTTTTCCACCCATAGACGCTATTTCACGCTATATCAAAGAAGTCAATACGTAAGCTCTACACTTTATGGTAGCAGATGTGTATACGGACCTGCTTATCAGGGTCCATGGAAGCAAAGCCGCCGCTGTGACTGGCCTTGCCACCCTTGGCGGCAATGTTTTGAACCTCCTCCTTGGGGCTTTTAATGGTCAGCTTCGATAACTAAGAGTGATTTAGGAGACCATACCGGTTAGCGAAGTTGCCGGGGTTGTCGTTGTCTGCCATGGTGAAATAAGCTTGGTTTGCTGCTAGAATGTGTATTAAATGTTGCAAAGAAGAATGTGGAATGTGCGTACTCAGGATGTATTAAATGGTTGGAATCAATGGAGCTATTTATACTTATTGACATCTTCTTTTTGGTCTCATCTCTATTTCACGTCTGTTAATTTACACCCAAGTAGTTGTCGTCATCAAACTGCTCTGCGTACTTAGCCTCTGAGGTCACTCTCCAGCGTAAAATACCAGTCAACGCCCCTTACATTTGAACCCGTCTTATTCTATGACGTTCATATATTTACCGTTATGACGTTAAATTTGAGACAATTATCATGCATTTTCGATGGTGTAAGCATGAGCGCGATCATAACTGCTACGTCTAGGTGCGCACGATCAGTCGAGACGTTAATTGCTCCACCTCGGCCAGAAAGATTTACTCGCAATGTTTGACTGCTTTGTTAACGCAGCTTTCATAAACTGCATGCAGATGCAAATCCTGGATGGTCCACTCTAGTCTAAACTCTATGGCCGATAAAAACAAACCCAAACTCATATTGGTATGAATGACGCCAAACAAATCATTAGTGGTTTTGTATGACACATAACACCATATCTGCGCATTACAGACGATTGATGTCAGTTTCTGGAATGATAGCTCCATTATACATAGTGAGTCCTACCGTAGCGATTTCAGGACAAATATCATGTAATTCATTGAGCGCCATCATATTCCCAAACTTGATGGAAATCTTGGCCCGTTAAATTGGGCTGCAGGGTAATGAGAATGACTGGCACGGCATACCTGTGGTGAAGATGCATCTGCGATCTCTTCATGTTACAATCTAAGCATTGGTAGCTGGCACCCTATAGCACTGTAGCAAGATACTGATTTTTGGTATCCTGTGAATTCTATCTACAATGCGTTTGCAATTGCCCGTGAATTCACATTGCGATGTGACGACACAAATGTGGATAAACGCTGACTAATACCGATGCCTCTTTGCTTGTGCGCCATCAATCTTCACAGCTGCCTTTTCTGCTCACTCGAACAGCAATTCTTGGGCGATGAACAGGCCTCGCAACCGCCAGCCTCGACCTTCGGGACAAGGCGAGTCTCGGGGAAGAGGCAGAGGAAGAGGAACGGGAAGAGGAAGAGGGGCATCATCCAACTTGGGACATCGAGCGCCTGGAACACCCCAACAAGCTGCCGGCACCGTCCCAACCTTCAAGCAAGTTGTGGCCGGTGCTGCTGTTTTCATCGTGCTAAAACAAGATCAACCGACAGGCCGAGAAACTCAGGGCGTCGTGCAAGACGTCCTCACATCAGGAGATCATCCTCGCGGGATCAAAGTCAGGCTGCGCAATGGTCAAGTCGGTAGAGTGCAGAGACTTGATGACGGAGCCTCCGAGCCATCAGCCCGGACAGCAATGGCTTCCAATGCGTCGAGCTCACGTTTCAGTAGCCGATACACAGATATAAGAAACGACGAAGACTTTGACTATCTCGAGGGACCGCCTCCGAGGAGCTTGGCAGACTATCTGCCGGCTTTGGATGAGCCTGCAGCCAATGCATCTTTAAGCGACGATGGAGGCGCTCGCATTGTCGAGGACATAGTTGTCTGTCCAATTTGCGAGGCGTTTGAGGGAGACGAGGCTGCTGTTACGCATCATCTCGATCGAGAGCACCTGAGTTGAGAGGAATGCAGTTCGAAAGGCTACCTTTCATCATTTTGCTTTGAAATGGCTAGGATAAATTTCCACAGATGATGGACATACTATTTGTACAGATACTGCAAACACTTTCATCAGGAAAGTGACGGCGTTTAGGGCGATTAGCGGTCGATAATGTTGCCTTCTGCTTGGTTCAAGTATTTTCGGCCGTGCACGATTATAGAGAGGGAATAGCAAAGCGGTTCAAACGAACCAGGATGGCGGCTGATGCAGTTCACATTCTCACCGATCCTTGATCCTTCGCAGGCGATTGCGTGCATGTTCAGTTCGCACTGAGCCAGGTATCCGCAGCCTTGCATGCATGATCTTAATCCCAGTGTCCAGGGCGTCCCGAAAAAGCCGGTAAAACGGGGGCCGGGGGTGCCCGTCATTTTAGCAGGCCGGGCAAGCAAGGGCGAAACCAGTGAGACCACCCCAGCTCCAGTTCTTTACAGTTGCAGATACTAGTGATTCAAGCAAGCAATTAGCCCCTGGTGATGAATTCTCAGAAATTGAGGTCGCAGCTGGGCACGTGTATTTACGACTATAAAGTGATGTGGTCGACAGGCAGCTACGAGGCTAGTGGTACTTTAGTAGGCAGCCAATCTTCTTTTACAGGAAGCTGTGCTTCGTACAGTGAAATTGCTCCGCTAGCTGCTGACTTGGCTATTGGTGTTTTAGGCCTGCCGCAGAGGAAATTGGGGAGTTCAGCTTTACGTTGGGGTACCTGCGCGTATGTACCTCGATGGTATCAGCCAAAGGATACAAGCCAAATAGCTCAACAAAGGCCAAGTATCAAATAAAAAATAAGAAACCAACGTAAAGGCTCTATAATAAAGCATAAAATGCCGCTACTTTGTCTCGTTCAGCCTGCATGGCGGCGCAATTGCTTGCAGCGCCTCAGGGCCTCTTGTTTCTCTTTGTTCTTTGTTTGTTCCAGACACCTATTCACGCGTGGCTTGGCGCAGCCGGAGACCGGATTTTCCGTAGCTCCGCGCGCTGTGATTGGCCACCGGCCCATCGCTCTCCACGCAATCACTCCTGCCACCTTGTTCTAGTCTAGTGGGCTGTTGCTGAGCAGTCAATGCCGCTCAGCGAGCCTAGCCTGCAAGGTGACCTGCCACTTCTCCTTAACTCTCCAACCAGATCTCCTCTTTCGCCAATCAACCCTCCCAGCATCTCCTCATCGGCAAGGCCCTCATCGCGACTCGCCTGCCGCCGCGTTTCTTTTCTTCCTTTCGATCCTTTTTTCTCGTTTATCTAGTTCTTCGTCTCGTGCCGCTTTGGCGCATGGAAGCTGTTGACGGCCTCGTCCTCCGCCCCTCGAGCCCGAAGCTAGCTCTACCTAATCCTAACACCGAGTCTGTGAGCCGCGGCAATTTCGATAGGCGGCGTCCCTAGGAGTATCGAGTCGACGACGGCCCATATTATCTCATTGTTGGTTACTCTGGCGCAATGGCGCCTCTACCCATCAAGTTCCAGGAGCTGGTGCAGCTCAGCAGCCTGGGCGTGGACACGCAATCCATTGGCTTCAACTCCTGCGTAAGTGGCTCTTTCTGGTGTATCGCCTATAGAAAAAGAAAAATCTACAGCCATCAACCATGCTAACCTGTCCGCGCGTTTGGAAACACACAGACACTAGAGTCAGACTCGTTTGTTTGCATTCGGGAAAAGAAAAACGAAGCCGCCCAGCCCGAAGTTGTCATTGTTGAGCTCAAGAATGGCAACCACGTCACGCGCAGGCCTATCAAGGCCGACAGTGCTGTCATGCACTGGAACAAACAAATTATTGCCCTCAAGGCCCAGTCCAGGACCCTCCAGATCTTCGACCTCGAGCAGAAGAAGAAGCTCAAGTCCTGCACAATGAACGAGGATGTCCAGTTCTGGAAGTGGATCAGCGAGTCCACTCTGGGCCTCATCACAACTGGCAGTGTCTACCACTGGGACGTCTACGACGCTTCTCAGGATGCGCCTGTCAAGGTCTTTGAGCGCAATGCCAACCTCAACGTGCGTCAATTTACCCCATGTGCTGCACTCCTTCCCCCCCGCTAACCTAACTGCTGCAACAGGGCTGCCAAATCATCAACTACCGAGTTAACAGCGACGGAAAGTGGATGGTTGTGGTCGGCATCTCGTCTCAGCAGGGCCGTGTGGTTGGCGCCATGCAGCTGTACTCCAAGGACCGAGGCATCAGCCAGGCCATTGAGGGTCATGCTGCTGGCTTCGGCACTTTGAGACTGGATGGTGCTCCCCAGGACACCAAGATCTTCAGTTTCGCTGTGCGAACCGCCACTGGTGCCAAGCTGCACATTGTCGAGGTCGACCACCCAGATTCGAACCCAGTCTTCCAGAAGAAGGCTGTCGATATCTTCTTCCCGCCCGAGGCAACCAATGACTTCCCCGTCGCCCTGCAAGTCTCGCAAAAGTATGGCGTCATCTTCATGGTGACCAAGTACGGCTTCATCCACTTGTACGACCTCGAAACGGGCTCGTCCATCTTCATCAACCGCATTTCCAGCGAAACCATCTTCACGAGCTGCGCTGACGATGACTCCTCGGGTCTTGTGGGTATCAACCGCAAGGGCCAGGTCCTCTTCGTCACCATCGATGATTCAACAATCATCCCCTACCTGCTTGAGAATCCCGCTAACACAGAGATTGCCATCAAGCTGGCGTCAAGGGCTGGCCTCCCCGGTGCCGATAATCTCTACGCAAAGCAGTTTGACCAGCTTTTCAACAGCGGAAACTACCTCGAAGCTGCCAAGGTCGCGGCCGGCTCCCCTCGTGGCTTTCTACGTACGACCGAGACGATCGAGAAGTTTAAGCGACTGCCTTCCCAGCCTGGTCAGATGGCTGTTACACTGCAGTACTTCGGAATGCTGCTCGACAAGGGTGCCTTGAACCGATATGAAACTCTTGAGCTCGCTCAGCCTGTCCTGCAGCAGAACCGAAAGCACCTTTTGGAGAAATGGTTCAAGGAGGGCAAGCTGGACTGCTCCGAGTCGCTCGGTGACATGGTGCGCCCGTACGACGTCAACCTGGCGCTGAGCATCTACCTCCAGGCCAACGTCCCCAACAAGGTTATTGCTGGATTTGCCGAGACTGGCCAGTTCGAAAAGATTCTGCCATATGCCGCTCAAACTGGGCATCAGCCCGACTACATCCAGCTTCTCCAGCACATCATTCGTACCAACCCCGACAAAGGAACTGAGTTTGCCACTGCTCTCGCCAACAATGAGCAGGGCCCTCTGATTGATCTGGAGCGCGTTTGCGACATTTTCCAGTCCCAGGGTATGGTCCAGCAGGCCACTGCCTTCTTGCTTGACGCCCTTAAAGAGAACAAGCCAGAGCATGCCCGTCTCCAGACTCGACTGCTGGAGATGAACCTGATGCACGCCCCTCAAGTTGCCGAGGCCATTCTCGGTAACGACATGTTCACGCACTTCGACAAGGCCCGCATTGCTCAGCTGTGCGAGCAGGCTGGCCTGGCTCAGAAGGCGTTGGAGCTGTACGAAGACCCCGAGTCTGTGAAGCGCGTCATCGTAAACATCCCTGGCGCTGCCAACTTCAACCCCGAGTGGCTGTCCACTTTCTTCGGTAAGCTGTCAGTCGAGCAGTCCCTTGACTGTCTTGACGCTATGATGAAGCACAACATTCGCCAAAACTTGCAGTCGGTTGTGAACATTGCCACCAAGTACTCAGAGCTTCTCGGAGCTGTTCGCTTGATCGATCTCTTCGAGAAGTACAAGACCTTTGAGGGCCTTTTCTACTACCTCGGCAGCATTGTCAACCTATCCGAGGATCCTGATGTGCACTTCAAGTACATCGAAGCTGCTACCAAGATGGGCCAGTTTAACGAAGTTGAGCGCATCTGCCGTGACAGCACCCACTACAACCCTGAAAAGGTGAAGAACTTTTTGAAGGAAGCTAAGCTGCCTGAGCAGCTGCCTCTCATCATCGTTTGCGATCGCTTCAACTTTGTACATGACTTGATCCTGTTCCTCTATCAGAACCAGCAGTTCCAGGCCATCGAAGCCTATGTTCAGCGTGTCAACCCATCGCGAACCCCAGCCGTCATTGGTGGTCTGCTCGATGTTGACTGCGAAGAGAGCATCATCAAGCAGCTCCTCACGACCGTTGATGCTCAACAGATCAACATTGATCAGCTTGTTTCTGAGGTCGAGACCCGAAACCGCTTGAAGCTTCTGCTGCCCTTCCTCGAGGCCACTCTCCAGGCTGGTAACCAGCAGCAAGCTGTCTACAATGCTCTGGCCAAGATCTACATCGACTCCAACAACAACCCTGAGAAGTTCCTCAAGGAGAATGATCAATATGACACCCTTGTTGTCGGTAAATACTGTGAGAAGCGCGATCCTAACTTGGCGTACATTGCCTACTCCAAGGGTCAGAATGACCTGGAGCTTGTCAACATCACCAACGAAAACTCCATGTACAGGGCCCAGGCTCGATACCTTTTGGAGCGAGAAGACACTGAGCTGTGGCGCTTTGTCCTCAGCGAGAACAACATCCACAGACGATCTGTTGTTGACCAGGTCACTGCAACTGCTGTCCCCGAGTCCACCGACCCGGCCAAGGTCTCTGTTGCCGTTTCTTGCTTTTTGGAGAATGACCTGCCTCTGGAACTTATTGAGCTCTTGGAAAAGATTGTTCTCGAGCCTTCTCCTTTCAGCGATAACCAGAACCTGCAAAACCTGCTCATGTTCACCGCTGCCAAGGCGGACAAGGCCCGTGTCATGGATTATATCCACAAGCTGAACGAGTACAACGCTGATGAAATCGCTTCCGCCTGTATCGACGTCGGTCTCTTTGAGGAAGCCTTTGAGATTTACAAGAAGGCTGACAACAAGTCTGCTGCTGTCAACGTTCTCGTCGAGCATGTTGTCAGCATTGACCGAGCCCAGGCATACGCTGAGGAGGTTGACCTTCCCGAGGTTTGGAGCAAGGTTGCCAAGGCTCAGCTGGATGGTCTCCGCATCTCTGATGGTATCGATTCATACATTAAGGCTGAAGATCCTTCCAACTATGCCGAGGTGATTGAGATTGCCACTCATGCTGGAAAGAACGAGGACCTTGTCAAGTATCTCCGCATGGCCCGCAAGACCCTTCGCGAACCTGTCATCGACACTGCCCTCGCCTTTTGCTATGCTAGACTTGAGCAGCTCTCGGAGTTGGAAGACTTCCTGCGTGCTACTAACGTGGCTAACATTGAAGAGTCTGGTGACAAGGCTTACGAAGAGGGACTGTACGAGGCATCCAAGATCTTCTACAGCAGCATCTCCAACTGGGCCAAATTGGCCACCACCCTTGTGCATCTCAATGACTACCAAGCGGCCGTTGAGTGTGCTCGCAAGGCAAACAATATCAAGGTGTGGAAGCAGGTTCACGAAGCCTGTGTTGATAAGAAAGAGTTCAGACTTGCTCAAATTTGCGGTCTCAATTTGATCGTCGATGCTGAGCAACTGCAAGAACTGGTCAAAGACTATGAGCGCAATGGATACTTTGATGAGCTCATCAGCCTGCTTGAGCAGGGTCTGGGTCTCGAGCGCGCTCACATGGGCATGTTCACCGAGCTGGGTATCGCCTTGTCCAAGTATCATCCCGAGCGTCTTATGGAGCACATCAAGATCTTCTGGTCCAGAGTCAACATGCCCAAGATGATCCGCGCCTGCGAGGAGGCGAATCTGTGGCCTGAATTAGTCTTCTGCTACTACCACTATGACGAGTTCGATAACGCCGCACTGACTGTCATCGAGCGACCCGAGAACTCGTGGGATCACCAGCAGTTCAAGGAGATTGTGGTCAAGGTTGCCAACTTGGAGATCTACTACCGTGCCATCAAGTTCTACGTTGAGCAGCACCCATCACTACTCACTGACTTGCTAGCTGCTCTCACAACTCGTGTCGATGTCAACCGTGTTGTCAAGATGTTCCAGAAGAACGACAGTCTGCCGCTTATCAAGCCCTTCCTCCTGAACGTCCAGACTCAGAACAAGCGCATTGTTAACGAGGCAGTCAACGATCTGTTGATTGAAGAAGAGGACTACAAGACCCTGCGTGACTCCGTGCAGAACTATGACAACTACGATGCCATGGAGCTGGCCGGTCGTCTGGAGAAGCACGATCTGATATTCTTCCGCCAAATTGCCGCCAGCATCTACCGCAAGAACAAGCGCTGGGAGAAGTCGATTGCCCTTTCGAAGCAAGACAAGCTTTACAAGGATGCTATCGAAACAGCCGCCATTTCCGCCAAGAACGACATTGTCAACGATCTTCTTAGATACGTATGTTGCTCCTCTCAATACCCATTTTACCTTGTAACGATGCTAACTTCATGACTTAGTTTGTTGATATTGGCCACCGTGAATGCTACACAGGCATGCTGTATGCCTGCAATGATCTCATCCGACCTGATCTTGTCCTGGAGCTCTCTTGGCGCAATGGCCTCAACGACTTCACCATGCCGTATATGATCAACATGCTCTCCCAGCAGACCAAGGAGCTCGCACTTCTCAAGGCCGATAACGAGTCACGCAAGTCTAAGGAGAAGGAGCAAGAGAAGACTGAGGATAACACACCTATTCTGGGCGGTGCTAGACTCATGATCACCGCTGGCCCTGGCGGAAATGCTGCTCCAGCTCCATACGGTCAAGCTAACGGCTTTGCGCCCCAACCCACTGGTTTCGCGCCCCAGCCCACTGGCTATAACTACTAGATGCAATTGCCAGTGTGGATGAGCTAACGCACCATACTTAGTACAAACATATAATGCGTAATCTTTTCGCTGTGGCATAGCTAGCTGCAATGCAGCCTGGGTAGCCAAGTTGGAGCGAAGCATGGTGGGAGAGCTAGACGGGCAATATAGGACTGATGATGACGATGCGTGAGCTTTTTGTTTTTAAAGTGGCTCCTTCATCGAGCTATAATGATGGATTAGAGGTACAAAAAAAGAGTTCATCGTCTAGAAGGAGACGACGAACCTCGGGCTCGGAGTCTCGTAAGCCACGGATTCTTTTTCCTTCTTTTTCCTTTGCGTTAGAGTGGCGGAGGAGAAAACATCTTTTTCATTTCTAAACTTTGGCGGAAGTGACGCAGGATGGAAATTTGCTAGGCTGCGAATGTGTATGATAGGCAATTTAACTTTTTTGTTGTTATTCTCGTTTCAGGCTTTGCGTGATTTTGTGATGTTGTGGCCTGTGCTTTGAAAGTTGCAGACTGTACGAGGACTTTTGAGAGTGAGTCAAGCACCTACGGTTTAGCTTTTCAAGATGGACCATTTGTAACATTCATGACAGGCATATTTACAATCCAAATGGTATTCAAGCAATCATAGTCACAGTTACTCGTAGATCACAGCGCATCACGGGCAAGTGAGCCGTTTTCAATAAATTGTATTATACTAAAAGCAAGTCTACTATACCATGTCCATGTCAAACAATGGCTCTTATGCTACTATACAACAAAGTGTTTACGCCCTATCCAAACTCTCCGAAAGAGGAAAAAAAAAATAAAAAAAAAGACGCGTGGGTGCGGGATTATAGGTTTAATTCTATACTTTCTTGCCGTTGGGCTTGGGGTGAGCTGTCTTGAGCCATTCGCCGTTGAATGCATTGATGAGCCAATTATTCAACTCTAAAAAACATCAGTCATTAGCAAAGTCCTCTGGGAAAAGAAAAGAAACATGTAACTGAATGAAAGATGAGGGAAACTCACTGTCGTATACTATGCGATTCGCACCGTGAAAGTAAATGCCATGGTCGCTATCGGGAAACACATGCACATCATAGTTTTCCACACCCGCCAAGTCCAAGCTATCCAGCAATGTGAGGGAATTCTGGAAATGCACATTGTCATCGGCGACGCCGTGCATCAGCAAAAAGCGCTTGTTCTCGCCCAGGGCCGTGGCATTGGAAACCTTGGACATGGCATACCCCTTATCGTTGTCCTGGGGAGTGCGCATATAGCGTTCGGTGTAGATGCTGTCGTAGAAGCGCCAATCGGTAACGGGCGCGACGGCCATGCCGTAGGAGAACGTGCGGCCGGCGTCCTGCTCGAGCGTCTTGAGGGTGGTGAAGCCGCCGTAGGACCAGCCCCAGATGGCGAGGCGGGTCTCGTCGACGTAGTCGAGGGAGGCAAAGTGGCGGGCGGCGGCGATGTGGTCGTGCGCCTCGAGGAGACCGAGCTGCGAGCGGACTGGCACGCGGTGCTTGCGGCCGAGGAAGCCTGTGCCTCGAGGATCTACGGTGATGACCAGGTAGCCGAGGTTGGAGGCGACGTAGGACTGGAAGTTGACGGAGAATCTCTTGGTTACTTCTTGCGAGCCAGGCCCGGAGTACTGCTGGAAGAGGATGGGGTACTTCTTGCTGGGGTCGAAATGGGGTGGGCGACGTTCGAGGTAGTTGACGGTGACGCCGTCCTCGAGATCGAGCGTGCCATATTTGAGAATGGGCAGTTCGTGCTTCTTGGCACGGTCGGCGAGCTCAGCATTGTCTTCAACAACAACTTCATACGAGATGTTGCTGGAAGGGGTTGAGATGACCTTTTGGTACGGGATTTTGGGTCCGCGATAGGAGAGGAGGGCAAAGCCTGCTCCAGACGAAAAGGAGGCGGAATAATAGGCCTCGGCGGAGATGTTTGTGAGAGGCTTTAGATCCGAGCCGTCCAGTTTGACAGAGTATACATGACGCTGGATGGATGATTCCTTTGTACCGACAAAGTAGACAAGGTTGTTGGCGAGATCGACGGCTGATGGAGCGTTGTCAACTTCCCACTCGCCAGAGGTGAGCATGATGGGCTTGGAGTTGCTCAGAGGCGTAAAGTATCCAATGTGTTCATAGCCCTCGTAAATCACCGTGTCGACATAGCCGTCCTCTGGTCGGCCATTGGCCGGGTCTGCAGGAACATAGGTCATTGAGTGCGAGATCTCGAACCAGCCGCCATCAAGCTTGTCGACATCGATATTATTGATAGTCTTGCCCTGGCGCTCATTAACATCGACGAGAATGACTTTCAAGTTATCGCTGACGCGGTTGGTCTGCTTGACAAGGACATTGTCGCCAGCCCAGATGAGGCTGTTGATGATGCGATCATCGTCGGGGAACTCATCGCCAGTGCTGACCGAAAAGACGTCGCCTTTGGTGACATCGTAGAACTGGAGGTCTACGACAGGGTTGTGCGCGCCCGCTTTGGGATACTTGATTTGCTGGACCTCGGGGTATGACTCCTCGCCACTCTGCGGTGGGTGGCCGCTGGGTCGCGAGATGAAGAACTGAACGGGATACTCCGGGACGCCGGTTTCGTTGGTCCGAAGGAAGGCCAGAAACTTTCCGTCCTCGGACCACCAAGTAGCGCTATTTCCAGAGAAGACCTCTTCCTCATACACCCAGTCAGGGATTCCGTAAAAGTACTCCGGGCCACCGTCCTTTGTGATCTGCACGATATCGTCGTCACCGGTGAGGGGGCGGATGAAGAGATTATTGTCCTTGGTAAAGGATATCGCGTCGCTGCGAGGGCTCCAGCTTGCAAGCTGAACACGAGCTTCATCGTCCAACGGGATAAGGGGTTCCGCAGTCTGCGTCTCCACGTCGAAGACGAAGTAGACGGCTGTGAACGAATGCCTCCAGACGCTCTCCTTAGCAACGCCAATGAGCACCTTTTTCTGGTCCGGACTGGGCTGAAGCCACTGGGGAGTGTACGGTTTGCCTGCATATTCAAACTGCTTCGTCTTCATGAGAGTGCGAGACTTTGCCAGCTGAGGATCCGCATCACTTGCAGCAGTCGCGTCCCCTACCACTGACCGAACGTCCTCCACAACGAGAAAGTCTTTGCCTGATACTCCCTGCTCGAGCAACAGGCCGTCCTCGCCGTCGGGGCCTGCAATCCAGCTCAGCGATTTGCTCTCGCCAGACCAGTAGCGATCAAAGATCTGGTCCAATGTCACAGGCTTACCGGAACCGCGAGAGTCGGCGTCGGGATCGTGCTCCACATCGCTGGCGTGCTTGTATGATCCCTTGGATACAAAGACGGCCAGAGATGCGATCCAGGCAGCAGCGAAGACGGCGGCGCAGATGAAGAGGATACGACGCAGCTTCCTGTCCATAGGCCTGCGCTGAAGGCCCGCGCCGGTCGAGCCAAGAAAGGCGGCGCTCTCGGTGTCATCTGCCGCTTCGTCCTTGAGGGGATCCTCATCGTAGACGTCGGTGTAGCCAGGCCTGCCGCGGGCCTTTCGCGACGCTGTCCCTTTCTCCATTTCCTCTTGTATCCGATCGAAGACGATGCTGGTGGTTGAGACGGAAGAGAGAGAATCGGTCGATGGGGATCTCTTGAGCCCGTCAGCAGTGGACGGCGCCATGATGGAGACGAGAGGCGAGCAAGTCGCAGGGGTTACGTGGAAGGGGTCGGTTTTTCGAGGGTATCAGTCAGCCGGATCGCGTTCAGAGGCAGACACGCAGCATCGTCTCGCAGTCTCGCAGCGAATGGCAGCAGCGTGGCCTCGAGATCACGATGCGGATACCAGCAATTCGGAAGCAGTCGACGAGAGAAGCGGTCAATCGCCGGTGTTGCTGAGCTGTACTGTGTTTTCTGCAGGTATTGAGAGTTGAGGCAGGCTTATTGTCGACTGGATTGGGGTGACGTGATTGGCGTACGGTAAGCTCGCCGCTGTTAGTGCTGGTCTTACTGGGGCTTATGCTCGGCCACGGGGCTGCATGTACTTTGCTAGCACTGGAACCTGTAGGTAGGGAGAAGCACATAGATAGTCAGCAAGGCGAATAAACAATAAAGTCTGCATCGAATTGGCCAGTGGAGTACGAGAGTCTCCCAGCCTCGTGTTAATCTCGCGGCAATCGTGGCAATCGTGGCAATCAAGCAGTACTACTATCTCATAGGTCGAGACTGATCTTACCTCAAGGCTACCAGATGCGAGTTGCACTGATAGCATGTAAGTGGTCTTACAGTGGAAACTCCACTGCCGGCCAATAAACACAACATCTGCCGAGGTGAGGCCTGCCAATGGCAGCTCATACATAACTTGAATTGATTAACATGCATCAGATGGCGCCTTGTGGTCCGTATTGCATAATCACCAACAGCACCACATACCAAAACACACACACAAAGTAAGGCGTCCGTCTTCTGCATGATGCAGCCGTCCATGCCTTGTATAATTCGCCGGCCCAGCTGTTAGTGGCTCCGCAGCGGGATTAACACAGCTGTGGAACCAGTCCGCCACACCAATCCAGCGTCTCCAGGCTTCGGATGATAGATGACAGATGATAGGTATGAGCAGCTGAGTACAGTTACGATGCGGCCATACGGCTATTGGGTGCAATAGGGGGTGTGTATCATCTATCGCTACTACTAACCTATACGGGACAGCTGCGCCAAAAAGACAGGAATTACCGAAAAACGATCCTATCACGGTACTCTCGCTGCAACCTAGAGAGCAAACGGGCAGGCCAAGGCTGTGGCGCAGACATGTACCAAGCAAGGAAACCGGAAAGATATCGCCAAATCCGCTTCGCTCAGCTCCCCCAGATTAACCTATACATAGAAACATTTGGCCACATTTGTTGCCTCCTCACCGGCTCCAGCCACGTTGGTTGCCGCAGCCTTACGACAGCCGAACGGCTCACCCACGCTTCTCACCCACGCTTCCAACCCCAGACGAGCTCCTCCGCCGCTCTGCTAAGCGCCGGGCTCCAACTATCGTGTGGCCGCCTGCAGTTGTGGCGGCGATTGGGTGCTCTCATCTATCTTGACCACGCGGCAAGCCGTCCCATACGCCGCCGTCTGAGCGAAGCCCCCCATGTCGCCCGCATCGAATCTCAGACAGATGATAGCATTGCCACCGCGTTTCTTGCACTCCTCGACGACCCTACCGATGGAGTCGTTCCGGCACGAGTACAGCATGGATGTGAACCACCGAAGCTCGCCGCCGGCCATACTTTTGAAGGCCATGCCCAGGGAGGCGCCGATGTTGCGCGACCGCACAGTAATGCCGTAGACTGTGCCGAGGACCTGCTCGATGCGGTAGCCCGGGAGATCCATCATGGCTACCACGAGGTGAAGATGAAGATGCGTCATTAGCCTTTCTGGTTTGTAGACACGGACATATACAAACACAGTGGCGATCTGTAGCCGCGCCTGCGCCTGCGCTTAAGCCCCCCGTATATGCAGTCGAATGACTTACTCGTTGTGACAACGCCCTCTGTTTCGGTGAAACAATGCAGGTCCGTTAAGTGCGGAGGGATGTCCGCTACCTCTTGAGTCTTCTGCTGCTCCTTGGGCTTGCCGAACATAATGTAGATTGCCTTTGAAGAACTGATAATTTGGGTAAGGATGATGCAATGGGTATCAGTTGGTAGACCGCATTCAAGATGTAGTAGAAGGAATGAGATCAATGCTTGCTCTTGTCCATCTCGTGAGGTTCTGGGCGAATTTAGCTCCTATTTATACATTTGCAACTCAACTGACACAAACTTTATTCTAACGATCCATTCCCCATTCCCATATAGATCAACATTGATCATCTTAATCCAACTCCAACGAGGATCCCACTACGATGCTTTCCATGCTTTCCCCTCAGATATGATGAAATGGCTTGGAGCAAAATCATGGATACGCTCTAAAGCGGCCGCTAACGTCGCCAAGCGCTCCATATGGCCCAACCCGCTCATCCCAGCGTCTGCAGCGCCACTTCCGCCCATTCTAGGACTAGCTGGGCTGTTGGACAGATCCTACTGCATGGATCGGAGCCAGCCGTATTGCTCGCGTTCTGGCTTAGTGGCCGGCTAGCCCAGAGGATTGGAGCTATTAATTACAGTCTGCTAACACACAGGAGCGCGATATCCGGGGGTTTTTGAGCGGCGTTATGCACGATGCCGTCGTCGGTATCACAAACAGACACTACCTGAGAGGAGGTAATGGTGCGGGTAGATTGCTGAAGAGCATAGACAAAGATAGTGTCTTGGTACTTCTATATTTGGAACACCTAGATGCAGACACGCTTGACTGATGTTCTTCCCTCTTTGCTTGAATCCCCATGATGCCAGAGCTCGAGAGTCATGCTGCATAGCTAGGCGCCGGCGGTAAGATGCTAATTGCAGGCCGTGGGAGATCAATTGATAGCTTCGTCATACCCACCACTGCATGTGAGCGCACGTGCCATTGAGGTCAATGGAATCTGTACCTGGTAGGGTGGTACCTACAAGCTAGGATGGGCGACCGCGATCGTACTGTTGCCTGAAAGGGCAAACAGCTATCACAGCACCTTTACTTATGACGTCTAAGTCAGTGACAGACATCCATGGATGAGTTCTCAAATTGACAACCAGAGGCCCAGTTCAGCAACCCACAGCCTGGCAGAATTAGGTGGTGGCACTACTAGTACTAGTAGTAGGTACCTATAGTAGAATCTGCCTCTGACCGCATTTCGTACATTCAAGCCCAGCACTTTCACTTTTCACTTCTTCCATCTTCCACCGCTAGGTTAAACGCACGTTGAACCACCTCCAGTCTCACTTGAAGCATTGCGTCAAGGCGCAGCTTTCTTTGCTGTTTTTCTCGTTACTCGCTTCTTTTTGCCTTCTAAATTTTCGCCTTGGGTTGCATTCACGGCGCCGGATGCGGCGCAGCAACCACTCTGCAGCCAATCCCTGCTGACCATACGTGGCGCCAGCCAGCCAAGCAGCCATGAACTTGTCTGCGCCACAACGTTGAAGGCTCTTCTGCTCTTGGTGGGAGGAGACAGTCCCTCGACAACAGATGGGCCAGGGAGAAGCAACGAATCCTTTCTTCAATTGGAATTGAGCAATTATGTGCTGCCTACCATATTGGATACGTCTCAAAGAGGCAACACCCCAATTCTTCAGTTGGGAGCCAGGTACGCATGCGCAATTTCCAAGGCTGAAGCCAAGGACGCTGTAGTTCGGAAGTGCATCCAATGGCAGCGCATTTGCTAAGTTGTTATAGCTACCAAGTCAGCGGAATGCCCAAGAAGCCTCAAGACCGGTTCACAGAACCAATACCAACCTGGGTTGAATTGTGTCAACTGTCCTCTCTAAGACGACTTCCCTCCCATTGATGATTACAAACCAGACAAGAGTCATGAGTGATGCGGAACTGCCTCTACCATCCACCCCAAGCCTTTCATCTCATCCTCTTACACGATATGCTACCTATTTGGGATACCCCGGTGCCAACGACTCGTGTGTATCTACAAAGGATGCTATAAATGGCCAAGCACACAACCATTTTGGTCCTGATGAGGTCACATAAGGCCCGATCAGGCACTACCATCCCCCCGGGAAAGTTCCACAGATATCTCTCACATACCCAATACATACGGTCTGATTTTTTGAGGGAGCTTACAAGAGAAAAGGCTCGTTCTCAATCCCTGACCAGCTGAGAAAGGATGATCCTCGGTCCACTTCAATTGTACATCTCCTTGCACATTCTCTTATCATTCTCTCATAGGGCAATTTTTACCGGTGCTCTCCGCGTTGCTTGGCGGGTATCTCTCAGCTCTCTCGGTTACGGATCCCTCAAGTCCCGACTCCGACTCGGCTCCTCCCCACCTCTCCGGCTCCATGCCAACCCCATGGCAACCCCGAACTGATACTGGGCAACTAGCTTAACCCTTCAATGGCATGGCATGGCATGGAAAAAGCAGAGACAAAAAGTAAAATGGTGTGTAGGCCTATTTCTCGGTTACTTTTCGATGAAATAGCAACCTTGCCATGTGGCTGACTCATGTTCAACCACGAGGCATTTACGGAATCTCACGGACAGGCCGAGGACAGTATTGAGTCTATGACAAACTAAAACATTCATTCGTTCTGAATGAACCGGCGGGGGTGTTCAAAATTGACTCTCTATACTCACGCGCAAGGCGCTTCATCCAGGAACAAAAGGACCATTTGGGAAGGCCCCTTGCATTCACATTTTCCCTTGGCGTCACCAACGCCACGCGACCGTGGCATGAACTGTACAGTATCCTGTAGCCCTGCCTGTGTGGGTGTGTGCATATTTGTTGTGGCAGACAGGCGCTTTCCGGCCAAACATCAACAGCACATTTGCAGTGGCAAATTAAGCTGCTGCTGTAAAGCGGACCGCCCCTGCCAGCCTTGTGTCGATGGTGATCGAGCTACGCCATCAATGAAGATGAGGTAAAGCCTTTCTGGCATTCAAACGTCCATTTCGTAATGGGAAATGGACGGGGCCCTATATGGACGCTTTTCGGTTCAGCTCAGCAACATTCGCCGCAACCCTATGCATGCCAGCACACCCTATCTGGACAAGACGTTGAGCATTGCCATGTATCCAGTGTCAGATACGGAGCACCCAAGGCTTTCCTACTTCCACCGCTATTTTAACGGCCGTCAATTATCCATCTTATTGTTGTGGCTCAGCGTCAAGTTACCAACGGCAACTCCATGTGGCAGACATGGGACGTGGCATTCGTAAAAGGCGACATCAGCACGCCTCATCATTGCCGGCCATAGGGTTTTTGACCCCCCTGCAGAGCCTGCGGCCATTTTGCACCCCGCCATGCGGGAGAGAAAAAAAAAAGGCTACAAAGTACATGGCACAATAAGGCAGCCCATCAATACCAAAAAAATATTTGATTGGAAGTCTAGATCCGACACAAAACACACCAGGGGGTTTTCTCCAATAAACCTCGTCGAGTAACAGAGGTGCAAAGAGGGTTGCGCCCATTAATATCGGCCCTTGGATGGAGTGAAAGGCGCATTGGCTGCTTGTGCAGCTCGCCAAGGTGCGTTGGGCACAATTTACCAATCAGAATACAGATACCGCAGAGCCGCAACGCTTGATCCCAGTCAGGAAAGCGAGAGATTAACAGCAAAACGGACAGCCCTAAAGGACAGTAATACGCATATTCTCCAATATACTTCACCAGCTGGAAGAGTCAAAGTGCAGTGCTGATGGAGTCGTCAAAATGGACCCGCATTGCCCTGGGTCTGATCCCTGCCACCCGCAGAGCCTCTTGGAGCCGAACAGCACCGTGGTGTATTACTACTTGCTTCGTGGGGTGTATTGAATGTGCCAGTTCCGCCATTGGTAGCGTCCGCAGGAAGGCGTTTATTCAGTAGGGATGATTTACCGAACTGGCCACCAGCAGCATGCGTGGTCCGGTGCTGCCCAGTTGCCTGAAAACGCGCGAGGCTCTACGAGCATGGGTTGTCTTCAGGTGCATGCACTACCACACCCTCTCTGGCGCCTTCGGTTCAGCCATGGCCATAGACCATAAAGATCTTTTAAAGATCTCATTTTCTCTTCTTCTTTGTCTTCTATTCCTGAGTTCAAAGGCAAAGCTTCCAGCTTGTGTTGATAATGCAGTATCATCAATCACCTCCCCAAGACGGACAAGCTATACAGTTCCACCTTTCTCTTATAGGCGGAAGCCACATACTCGAGATGACTGCAAACGACCCTTCTCTTAGGTACGCATTGACTAGCTGATGGCAACTTCAATATTGCCGGCATGCGTCTTGATATTGCCATAGCTAACTCATGATCAAATCTAGGTGTTTTGAGACCGATGCTGATAACACTTTCGGGACATCAACACAATCAAACCAGAGGAGCTCTCCCCATATGTATCCTGGCCTACTTGCTACTGCTCAAGATTGCTTCCCGATCAGCAATGGGCAGAGTCCTCAGCTCTCGCCAGAACTCTCCTTTGCTCCCGGCCCTGGCCGAGCTGGTTCTTGTTCTGATTGGCCTCCGCAACAGACCAATGCGGCCAATAATGACAGCCTGATTTTCAGCTCCTCCAGTCAGAGATACAACCCCGGTCAGAACCACTACCCGCACTCTGCCGCACGAACGCGGATGACGATATACGATACCCCTCAGCAGTCATTCGAACGCGGGGATGGCGAATGTCGGCATGGCTCTTTATACTCTGAGGATCAATTGTCGACGCAGCTCTTTGGAAATGGCTTCCCAAACATCTCAGCCACCCAGCCCTACGGCTCCCCGGGCCAGCCACAGGCTTATACCTTCAGCCAGCCTGACTCGAGAACCCGCTCTGGGCACTCCTCGAATGGTAGCACTCCCACAGCCACTCGCGCTGGTGTCACGGACATGGTGCCTGATATATTTAACAGTGCAAACGACACTCACACGAGTCTGTATAGCGGTGGAAGTTCTGGATTCCATTTCTCCAATGATATACAACCGCCCCTCAATTTGGAGACAAGCAACAGCTATTACTCGCCAGAAACAGACACAGTCTCCTCCTTCGAATTAACAGAGAATGAGTGTTTGGTTTCGAATTCTCGCTCTTTGAGTAGCCCTCGGCTTACAGATTCTCATAACGACACCTTGGAAAATACTATACAACATCTCTCGCTACATCGGTCATCCAGCACTGGACCGTACAACAGACGCTCACCCATTGCGCAAGCCCACCTGCAGCCAAAACCCGAAAAGAGTGTCGCTGAAGGGACAGAAAGGAATAGTTTGGTGAAAAACGAATATCATCTTCCAAGGAAAAATCGTGGGAGACGTACGAGACCCCTGGAGGAACGAAAGCGGATGAATGCGACGAGAAGAAGAAATGAGCGGACAGTGTGTATTGGTTGCAAGCTGGCCAAAGTCATGGTAAGTCTATTATGGGAAACTTGTCCTTTAATTGTTCACTTACCTCTTATCCCCCCCTTTTTTTTTTCCCTAGCATTTTCTTTGCTTTTTTTTGTTACTTCTTCTTTTGGCCCTACCCACCATACATATTCATATTCTCTTTCCTATCCGCACAGTATAGTATGTAACACCATGACTAACATGCTGTTGTCTAGTGCGAGGGTCGAGAACACGGAAGAGACTGTATCCGTTGCACCAGTGGGAATAACAATGCTCCGAAGCCATTCGTTTGTGTTCCTGCGAGCTTCATCGAACTCGTTCAGCAAAATAGCACTATATTGCTTGGTAAGTGATGATTACAACCTGGAGTATTGGGCCGTTTACTGATATGATACCTGGATTTTAGCCCTTCACACGATCCATCTAAGATCTTCGGGCGGTTTTTGTCAAGCAATCAGCTTGCCTTCTAATATCGATGTTGAGCAACTTCTTGGCTCCATCGGCTCCTTGAAAAGCTCTTACGGCGGCGTCATTCGAGCGTACGAGGGGGACAATGTGCTTTTCGAGCTGGACCTCCACGCTTGCTATGCTTTCATCAGCGCCAATTACCCCCCAACGACTCATCCTTTCCGCCAGTTCATCGATGGTCTCAAGTTCCAGCGACAAGGTCATTGGAAGTCATGTATAAAAAACAACAGCTACTCGCTAGCAAATTTGTGTAACACGCTTTTCAGGTGGGACGATGCAGCTCTCCACATTACATATTCTACGGTATACGAGATCAGTCATGGCGTTGAAGGTCGCCTCGACTCCGATCCAAACGGCGAAACGCATAAACAAATCGTCGCCGCAGCTCAGCTACATCGAATTATTGGACGCCAATTAGAACTCCAGTTCTATGACCATCTCAAGAAAGCTCTCGGCCGTCCTAGCATTTCCCACGAGGTTGTTCTTGAAGTCGGCCGTGCTATCATCTCTCTTCGTCGCCGCCTAGCCTCGTGGACCCAGAGCTGGGACAAGAGCCAATCTTGGGACAATGTACCATTTATACCTGAGCTTCAATCATACACTGATGGAGACAATGATAATCGGTCAAGCTTGAGTGATGGCTTTATCATCGCCTACCGTATCAAAAGTCTCTGCCGAATTCTCTACGTTTACTTTTGCTACATGAAACGGCGACTTCCTGTAGAGGAACAAAGCGATTTGAATACAATGGAAATACGGGATCCAGAAAATGGTCGAATGGTGGAAGAATTCCTTCCACGGTACGAGAGCGCCAAAGGATTTGAGGATTGGCTTCAATTCATCATTAACTGATATCGGAGCGCGGCAGCAACATCTACGTGTTTTGAGTTTCTCCAATTGAGAAGAGAAAAAATCTTTCTCTTTCTTTTTTTCTTTCTTACTTTCTTTCTTTCTTCCTCTTTTCTTCCCCCTTCTCTTTTTTTTCCCTCTCTCCTTTTTTGTAATGACTAATGACGTTTATATGGAGGACGCGGAGACAGGAAATTTGCAGGAGAATATACGAGTTGAAGAGATGATCTGAATGTGGGATATGACGCTGGAATACATGGATTCTTCGAAATATGGGCCTCTAGGTGTGAATAAAGGGAAAGCACACGATGTTGATATGCTATTTACACTCCAAAATTTATGATTGTTTTTTTTTATTGGGCCTAATCATCCGCTACTGTTTTTGATGTATTCGCAATGATGATTCATCATTATAAGAGTAAGTAAGCTGCATTCCCTTACTGTTCTTTCTCAGAACAGGAAAGGCCTTTTTACTCTCCCCTCTGCCCTCTTGCCAAACTTCTTCACTCTCTTCGCATCCCACACATCCAAGTGGACCGCACTTCTCTTTGAAGACGAGGATGATGGCGCTGGATGACCAGCCGTGATGTTTCCGCACTGCGGCCTCTTGAGCTTACTTCCAAACGTATCAGCCGTCCACAGCAGCACACCATTCGTCCAGCCAAAGCCCTCGACAACTTCATACTCTCCTCCTCCACCCGCAGCGTTGGTTGAGTTATCATCATACTTTTCAAACATGATACCCACGTCTTGGTCCGACAAGCCTCGCAGTTTTGGCGTCTCAGAGGTGGAACCTCCAGTGGCGAGCCACGTGCAAAACGTATAGTCGAGATATCGCTGCCCCAGACGCAGAGAGAGGTTCTGAATGTCCTGGTACGAAGGGTCCTGCGCCGTGAACGTCGCAGGCACGTTGTTGAGGCCTTGCATGAGAATGTGCTGGTGCGGCGGCCAGACGTTGGGCTGGTCCCACTGCTGGCCGGTCTGGACGTTGCTGGCTGGAATACCGCCGGGCTGGGCGTCGAGATATCCTGCCACGCGGTTGTAAGCGCGCGTCACGGCATAGGGATTGCTCTTGATGTAGTCTGGCGCGGCACCGGTCCAGAAGGGGTAGAACTGGCCGACGTGGAAGAAGACTTGTTTTCCGGGGGGAGCTGTTTGCCTATCGAGCGAGATGGCGTCTTTGTCTGCGGGGACGTAGATGTACTGCGAAGAGGAGGTGAGGTTGTAGTCGAAGTAGCTGAAGAGGGTCTCGTTCCAGAAGACGGCTTGGATGGCGGTGCTGCGGTTTGCGGCGCGTTCGGCCCAGTTGCGAGCGGCGGTGAAGTTGCCGGTTTGATTGTAGAATTGCGAGATTGTCAGCTCGTTGCCGTACAGGATGGCGTTGAGGTCGACGGGCACAATGTCCTTGTTGTTGAGCGAGCGCAGGGGGAAGTAGACGTCGTTGATGGCGTCGGACGGGTTGGCGAGCCAGCGGGAGGTGTAGTCGTTGCCGCTCTCGGCCCCGGTGGCGAGGTTTGCGTAGAGATCTGCCACTTGAGTCGAATTGAGAGGCTTGTTCGCCGGATAGATGATGCCCGACGTAGCGAAATAGGAGCGATTATTGGCGGTGACGTAGTCTTCCAGGAAGGACTCTGGCCGCGGCTGTGTGTTTTGCACGGCATACTGCTGCAGCGTGTACGTCTTATTCGCAACAGTCACACTGACCGTCCTGTTGTTGATCCAAAAGTCGTGCTCCCTCACCAGCAGCGGCAGAGCTCTCCTCAAGATGCTCGTGTCATTCGTATGCTCAATGTAAGTCTTCACCATCTGCGACAACAGCGGCGGCTGCGACCGATTCAAGTAGTACAGCCGCGCCCCATTCGGAATAAACCCAAAGCGGTCTATAAAATCCAAGAAATTCTCAATCGTGTTCTTGGCAATTCCCACAAACGCCCCGCCCGTGCGCAATAGACCCTCGATGATCCAGTACGAGTCCCAGTAGTACGGCTCGCGAAAGCGTCCGCCCGCGACGACAAAGGTGCGGTTCACGGGGATGAAGCTATTCGGACAAGAGGAGCAGTTGCCCACGGCGGTGCCGGAGTAGCGGCGCGTGAGGTCGGGCCAGATGTCGATGACCTTGGAGACGAATTGGCGGATGACGGTGTCGTTGAGTTTGGAGAGGAAGGTCGGGTTGGTGGTGAGGCTGGATCGGGGCACTTCGACGAGTTCGCCGCCAGCATCGGCGAAGTAGGTGGCGAGGAAGGTTTGGAGGGAGGATGAGTTTGTGAGGGGCTTGGAGAGGTTGGTGAAGGCGGCGAGGATTTCGGGGAGGGGTCTTTTTGCTGGCCTGTGTTTGACTGTGTAAGCTTTACAATTTATATATGCATTGGGGTTGAGATTTGGCCTACATGTCTACAAAGGTCTTGGAGTCGGAAAAGGGGTGTGCTAGCTGGATGTCCTGGAGGATGTCGCCGTGGCAGTATATGGGCGAGTCACAGGGGGCGATTACAGAGCCATTGGTGTAGAGGGCGTTGATTATGGTTGGCAGGGCTGCCAAGGTGGCTATTATGAGAGATTGCAGCGAAGCCATCTTCATTTTGGCCTCGAGAAGAGAGCTAACGAGTATGAGGAAGTATCAGCGACCTCGTCCTTTACTAGAGAAGGTGGCTGGATGGAGCTATTTATATGTGTAGGCACTCACGATGTTCCCGTATTATTGATTAGATGTTGTAACTCTTTAGTAAAGAAGAGAAAATCAAGGCATATCAAGCTTGGCAGTAAGCTTGGCTTCCATCCAACACGGAACGCTGGGTGCAAACTCACTTTCAGGCTGCCACACCATTCGGCTTCCCCACTTTGCGGTAGAGTGCTTTGTTTTTGGAAGCTTGGGTTTCATCAAATCGAAGTAGTAGTATATGGGTGACGCTATTGACTGGTGATGTAGTTGCTGTGGCTTGGTATGTCGTACGAGGCTTTTGGAGTATCGTGTAAACGAGGTTATCACATAGGAACAAGCGAGGAATGAATTGTGAGACTTGGATCTTGAAAGTATGAAAGATTATGCTATAACGCGAAATCATTACATTGTTGGTCAATTCTGATTGCAATTTACTCCTGAACCAACAATTGACACAAAGTTTAAGCACAAATGGCTGTGAGACATGCAGAATGTCAAACTGTCAGATTATCCCCAACTCATAACCTTGCCAACTTTAAACCGCTTCCCCCACAGCTGCTTCTCCACATGGAGATCTTCAACTTGTTCTAGCGCAGCTTCAGCGGCGTGGCGTCCCCTTCGTCCCCGCACTGCGCTAAAACGTAAGTTGTTGAAGTCATCACCAGTGCATCATTCGGGATGGTAATTAGATCGTGGAAGTCCTTTTTCTTTAGATTCGATTCATGATACACACTTTTGACGCACCTTCAATAGTGACTCTTACAGGTCAAACAAACTTTAGTCAACAGTATATGCATAAGACAGCAAGGTTGTGCTGACATGGCCTGTCAGCCTCTAAGAGAGGCTCCCGCTGTAGAAACATCGTCTTGACGTCAAAGGCGCCCGACTAATCGAAGCGCCCGACTAAGAGGGCTTTCGAAACGAAAATCCAGTTTACAATAAAGCTGATGATATTTAGTGAAAAACTCAATTCAGTTTTAAACTGTCACTCGCCGGAATCTCCGCATCGGGGTGAGGCGTCCTAAATCTTCACGTGGCCCCAATATGGTTTCTTTCCCGTGTGATAAAGCGTTTTGACACGAATCAGCTTGACACTTGCAAGTCAGATGTGAGACTACACGACGATCAGTGACATGCGCCGCACAATTGGCCGAAGCTAACCAATCAGTTGTGAAGAGTCGGTGATTTGACAACCAAGAGCCTTATGCAGCACCGGGTGTTCAGAAGGGTAGTCAAGATTCAATTGTCGACTTTACTTCTATTCTATCAACCAATTCATGCGAACACCTTCTTAAACACCCTCTCCAGTCGCGCCAACACCTCCTCGCCATTCTGCGCAATCTGATAATGCGTAACAAGCCGGCCTCCACCAACCGTCAGTCCCTCAGCCTTGCTCAACTCCGTAAACTTCTCCGTACTGCATCCAGCCGCCTCTATATCCAACCAGGCCATGTTTGTATGCACCGGATGCACCAGCTTCCCACCCAAGCCCGTCCACAGTGCCTCAACCTTCTTGGCCGTCTCGTGACCCTGCTTCAACAAGCCATCGCTGCCATCGTCCTTTGTCCCAAACGTCTCGTCCACAGCAACCCTCGCACAAGCAGTGATGAAGCCCGGCTGCCTCATGCCGCCTCCAATCGCCTTGCGCGTCCACCGCGCGTGCTGCAGCGTCTTCTTGTCTCCCACAATGATGCTTCCCACGGGCGCGCCCAGGCCCTTGGAGAAGCACAAGCTCAGCGTGTCAAATTGCGCGCAGAATTCCTTCAGAGTGCCCGCGCCGGCCACGACGGCCTCCCAGAGACGCGCGCCGTCGCAGTGCATCTTGATGCCGTTCTCGCGGGCGAACTGGGAGATGCGCTGGACCTCGCTCAGGGGCATGATCATGCCGTTGAGCGTGTTTTCGAGGCTGATGACGCGAGTGGGACAGTCGTGGACGTTGTCGCTGATGACGACGTTGGCCTTGACGTCCTCGAGGGTGAGGTAGATGCCGTTCTTGGGGACGACGGGCTTGACGGTGGCGCCCGTCAGAGACGATACGCTGTCAACGTCAGTGAGTTAATAAGCTGCCAATGCTAGATGTAAAAAAGCATGAAGATGAAGGAGTACGAACCCTCCAGCCTCGTAGAGAATAATGTGAGACCGATGGTCAGCCAGCACCGCGTGGGGAGGCTGGACCAAGAGGCTCCTCAGAGACACCTGGTTGCCCATTGTGCCCGAGAGAACAAACAGACCAGCCTCTTTGCCTGTGAGTTTGGCCACATGAGCCTCCAAGTCCTGCGTCGTCGGGTCCTCATTGAAGACATCGTCTCGGAGGGAGCATCTTGAGATGGCAGCCAGCATGGACGGCGTGGGAGTTGTCATGACATCGCCTATTGCGAGCATGAAGACGTTAGTAAACAACTGGAGTTTCTCTTCATTCTTCCTTCTTCTACCAGAAATATCGGTAAACAAATCAAAGAGTGAGTCTCACTTCGCAAATCCAGTGACCCAGCGCCCTTGACGCCCACCCACGCATTCGATCCCTCACTGCTTCCCATGATTGCTGCGTTGTTTCTCGCACTACAGCTCGAAAGATGCCGTTTCGCCACTTGTTGCCGTCCTAACGTCCGCGCAGTCTGTCGCCGTAGCAGAGATGCAGTATTTGAGGCCGAGATGAATGCAGAGAAGACCGAGCCCCTCATAGTCAAATTATCAAACAAAGAAGTCGGAGCAAGTTGAGCCGAAGTCACTCCAATTCAGCAGTTTTACTCCAATTCATTGGAGGGGTTAAAAGATTTGGGGAGGCTAAAGTGCCGGCCCCGCCTCCCGAAGGTTGTCCGAGAACCGGCCCGTGATGCTGGGAACTATATATCTAGGCGTAACAACTCATGTTGTATAGGTTTTGCTACTGTTATTACTATACAATAACAGCTCTTAACAATAGGGCTGTAAGATAAATACGGTTGTTGCGTGGTTTTGGTTACTTGCTTTCATATCTACGCGTACACATCCTTGCGGCTAGATGCGGTCGGCATGAGAATTAGAAATCAAGTTTCCTTCACCATCGACCATCGAGATGTCAAACGCCAAATCTATGGTCTTTGCAGTATTGATACATGATTCTTTGTATCCTACCCCAACTTCATCAGAACACTCTCACAATGGCAAATATTTTAACAACAGTTCAAAACACACCCGCCTCACTTACTGACCCCGTAAAAGCTATCCTTGCCCCAATAGCGCTTAATCAATTGCCCACAGCAGCCATCTACAGTGTCAATTGAGGACGGGGTAGCTAATAATAAGCATCATGAAGATCATAATTTTATCTGAACCTCAGGCTTACATCCCATCCCTGAACCAAATCCTCTTGCGGCTCTCGATACTGCCTGCATTGGGTAAACGGTAATTACCTCAAACAGTCTATACCCGTGTAGAACATGGGCCTCGCTAAACAAAAGCCCGTGTTGCACAGCCATCAATCCACAACAAGCTAGATCTCTTGGCGCACGGGTACGATCCGATGTGCTCGCCAGCTCCATCTTGCCAAGGTGAATATATTCATACGATGCACTACTACTTTCTCTTTAATACAATTTCCACATTTTCTTTAACGGAAAAGAAACTTTGCCTCAAACATCTCACTCCCCGGAAACCTTGATGATATTAGCGCCCATTTATATCACAAAAACAGAGAGATGGGCCGACGCTACCACGGGAATGGTGGGTGCGGGTGACACCCCATGTTCCAGGCACCATGACGACGAGTACTGTTACCAGAATCCCGGCTGATTGTTGAGCGTGGCTATGGGCTGACGGCGGGATGAATTCATCGGGGAGAAAGGAATGGTGGCTCAGCTTATTCGTATTTAACTAGCGTGCGTTGGGCTCGGGCAGATCACAGTCGCGTCCTTTATTACATACGAGCAATGGGGACTACTAATCAGCAGTAAGACGAACAAGGAACGGTAGGTTAATGAGAGAGATAAAGCCCTGGTTTAGCTTGGGAGCTGACGAGAAGTCAGGTTGGATAGCAACACACCATTCTGGATCGGCGCTTGTTGCATACTTTATTAGAAGACGAGGACGGGCAAACTCTATAACTCACTCGCTTCCCCACGCCAAGAAAGGAAGATTTTTAAGTCTTTTCATGTAAAGGAGAAGACTCAAACGAGAGGAAGAAAGCAGAAGAGGGAGAGGGATACAGAAGGAGGAAGATACCTCTCCTGTCATTTGAGCGTGCGAGAATGGGAAGAATTGAAATGTTTAGGCATAAGAGGTAACAACACCATCACGAAGGCTTCGTCACAATGATTTCGCGGCCACTTCCACTCGTTTTCCTCGCCGGATTGTTCAGTCTCATCTGGTGGCTGTCGAATCAACCGCTGTTCGCCTTACATCGCGAACGACAACGCATCTCCAACCTCGACCTGGTGCTGGGCGAGAAGCTGCCTTCACATCTCAACTACTCGACCAGCACCCCTGCCGACAATCACGACTTTTACTCTTCGAACCAGGCGCGGGCCTTTTGCCAGGCTCATGGCTACGAAGTCTTTGTACCTCATGCCGCCTCCGGCGAACGCAAGATCTACGACCTCGTCATGGTCAACACGGAGCTGGATTGGCTGGAGATTCGGCTCGAGACCATGTACGACCACGTCGACTACTTCATCATTGTCGAGTCGCCCAAGACATTCCAGGGCGGCAACAAGGCCCTCATTGTGCTCAACAACTGGGACCGCTTCCAGCGCTTCCACGATAAGATGATCTACCACCAGCTGACCTTTCCGGAATGGTTCAAGCCCAAGCGGCCCTGGGATTATGAGGATCTACAGCGCGACGCCGGCTACGACCAGGTCTTCCCGCAATTGGCAGGCCGCTCAGCTCCCGTCCTCGGCGACGTGATACTCGTGGCAGACGTTGACGAGATTCCACGACCCGAGACGCTCTTCTTGCTGCGGACATGCAGTTTCCCAGCCCGTCTCACACTGGCATCACGCTTCTACTACTACTCGTTCCAGTTCCTCCACACCGGCCCCGAATGGCCATTCCCACAAGCAACCTTTTACCGCGGCCAACGCACAATCCGACCGAACAACCTGCGCGCCGGCATCGGTGGCATCCCATTCCTTCGAGATCTCGACAAAGGCCACCTCTCCAACGCTGCCTGGCACTGCAGCAGCTGCTTCGCCACGATAGAGCAGTTCCTCAACAAAATGGCCAGCTTCTCGCACGTGTGGATGAATAACGAGTACTACCGCGACAAGGACGTCATTGCCGATGCGGTCCGGGATGGAAAGGACGTCTGGGGCCGGAAGATTGATACGTTTGAGAAGATTGATAAGAATCTGGACGTGCCGGCGGTGCTTTTGAGGGAGAGGAACAAGTACAAGTATATGCTGGATAGGAGTGGCAAGTCTGCTGGGTTTACTGATTACCCGTGATGTGATTTTGGATAAAGCGTGAAAAGAGGCATCGAATCAGAGCGAGCGAGCTTTGTAATTGTACATATGATGGGATTTGGTACTGCATTTGACGTTTATAAGAGAGCGATGAGAGCTGAGATGAGTCATATTATCGGTAGATATACTACCTCTGCCTAGACATCCAGGCGTCTATCTAATTTAATCAAGAGAGTGACTTCCAAGCACGCCGTGCCGGTATTAATTAGATCTTCCATGAATCCCCTTCTATAGTTTTCCCATTCCCAGAAAAGAAGCCAGAACCACCAACGCCCTTTGGAAAGTCCCCCAACAGACCATCAACCCCCTTCCAGCGATCAAGGCGTCCCGTATTCAATCGCCGTGGTCGCTGGACGAGACAGATGATCTGCTACAGCACCAGCTAAAGTGCGTTGGTTGTGCTGGCTACAATCTGGGGCCTCAATTTCTCTTCATTTGCCTAGGTACAGGCCGAAGAGCAAGATGGCCATGACTGCCAGTGTGAATTGACTTGCTGCAGGCGTCAAGGTTAGTATGCTTGTTTATGCATACAGTTTAGAAATTCGAAGAGCACTTACTGTCGAAAGAGCGGGATAATAAGCTCGTATTGAACTCCATTTTTTCGTGTGCGGATGTTTTCCGAAGATGGGCTTGTCTATTAATAGACGTACGTATTAGTCGAGTGGTTTTCAGCACATCACAGCCACCATCTCCATACGTACATTCAATGCCTCAGAAGAGAAGATTAAAGTCCACTCCCTCAAAATTTAAGAAAAGCAGAAATGCGTTGGAGAAAAAAGCATTGAGAGAGGAGAGAGAGCAAACAATAGAGAGGCATGCAAGTCTTGAAATACAAAGCTGCAGCACACCCTGACAACAAGTGGGGGAGACGATGCTCTGGCTGCGTTGCCGCTAAAGAATGGAGTCATTAGTAGTGTGTAATATGACGGGCCAGCTTGAATTCGGCCACTTGTCTCTGCAGCTGCAGTCCATTGTAATCAGTCTGACAACCGCAGTGTCACATGTAAAATCATCATCTTACCAGATAACTGACCAGAACCTGTCTTGTCAAGCCACCACGAAACTCTAAGTAGCAGTTCGGAGCTCTAACCAACTCCTTCCTACCCTTCTATTCTAAACCTCATTCCATAGTATATCCCTCTCGAATAGCTCTATTCCATCTAAATTCCAATCGTTTACCTCTTTCTCTTCTTTTCTTCTTTGAATAGCTCTCTTCATTTTCGATCTTCGTTCTCAACAAAAAACAACAGCAACATCAGCATCGTCATCGTCCCGTTTTACCCCTCATCACCACAATTTCCCCTCCCGCGCGAGCAAATCCCCTTCCACCACGACTTCACTTACATGGCATTACAAGCACAGCACAGCATAGCGCTGCATGAGGCAACACATTGTGTGCCAAAAAAAATATCCATCCACGCACATGTGCATTTACATTGCATAGATTCATTCATGCAAAAAGAAAAAAAAAAAAAGTCGAGGCTCTTTAGATACCAGCCCAACTGATTGCTCCCGTTTGGCTGTTATCCATGCATTCTTGCCCAAACTGCCATTCCGCCAAGTCATCGGAAGAAGCCCCCCAATGCCTCGAACCTCTTCCTTCTCATGCCGGCATATAGATATGACTACAGTACTAGTCGTATTACCCTTTGCATTTTCCTCACTTGTATCGCACATATCGCGCATTTTCTGCGTCATCGCACCTCTTGCTTCACCTCGCATCGCATTACATGACATTGCATGTGCATTCGGTGAGACAGCAACAGCAACAGCAACAACAAATACCTACATGCATGATTCCTCTCTCAGCCTCCTATTCTGAATTGCAAAACAGAAGAAAAGTGATGTGAAAAAATTTTCAACATTGGCTCTCCAGATTGGTCGAGTTTGAAGCAAGCTGCAGCCAGCAGAGCCCATCACCTGATTCTTGCTTTGGCCAATGTGCCAGTATCCGACGTTGTTACGGGCAGCGGCTAATGCTCTGCTGTCGAGAGAAACACCACTTCCGCCTTAATCTAATACCTCAGTTGTAATAGCAGTACTTCTCCATATCTACATACAAGCAACATGCCTTGTATTCTACCATAATGTTAAAGAATACCACAGCTATTAAGCGCATCTATCTATTCAAATCAAATCACTTCTAGCATCTTACACCAGTACAGACTGTATCCTCCAATCTCCCATCCCACATCCCTCACTCAATCCCATATATGAGAAACAAGGGAAAAAGAGAAAATACCCACCCCTACTTGATGCGCTGGCACTCGTCTCCCACCACCACTAAAACAGGCGACACCCCGGCACGCTTTTCTCCAGACATGCAGCGCAACACACACCAAAAAGAGCACAAGGCATCACATCATATAGCATATCAGCATGGATGTGCTTTGATGCCCTTTGAGCAGCAAAATCAAATGAGAATTTAATTAAACTTGGAATCACAAATTACAGATAATAGTAATAGTAAACAACTCTATACCAATCAAGTCAAGTACACGAAAAATAAACAAATCCCAGCCACTCCATGTATCATCCTCTACAGTATATGCCTCCCACCCCAGCTCCCATCCCAAAAAGCACCAATCCAAATTCAAATCACCAGACAGGGAATGCGGCGCTTGTCAACTGCACTGATGAGTTGGCCAACGCATCAAAGTGGTCCGTGTGTAGCCTCGAGATCCGTTCAACCCACACACGCTCTTTTTCTCTTTTGCTGCGCTTTCTTTTTCCCTTCTTCTCCCAAACAACAAATTATTCCTTTATACTTATTCTCTCACACTCATCCTCTCCAATTTCTTCTCTTCTTTTCCTTTTTCCTCTATATCAAGCAGCAGCAGCAGCAGCAGCAGCAGCCTCATCCACTGGCTGTTCTGATCCGCGTGGCTGGTGGTCTCCCCCCACCCTTCCACACGCTATTGCTGTCTAGGTACGCTGGCAGAGGTACTTCCCCAGCCCCGCGCATACTTTACTCAAGGCTTGTACCCTTCCCACACTGGCTTCTCCAAGGACCAAACCGCCGGGACTTTTCGCTCCATGGATCTCGCCTCTATTTCGTTGTCTCCAGGCCGTTATGCTTTTACGCCAACTCCTCGCTATGCTTGAGAGGCTTGCTCATGGGACTTCCCTAGACTATGCCACCAAGCCGTGATCGACGTCCTGTCACTGGTTCCACTTTGGAGAAAGATATCTTTGGTTTTCTTTTTTTCCTTTTCTTGTTCTCTTACTCTTACTCTTGCAGAAAAAATGCTATAAATCATCATTCATATCTCATCGCCCGGATCGCTTGCTATACATAGGCGCGCCTTGGAGTTGATCTTGTCCTTGGAAAAGAAGAAGAAAAAGAAGAAACAAAAGGTCACAACAACTTATCCAACCAAAGAAACAGGGAAAGGGAGTGACAAAAGACACGGGCAAGTGCCCACCATGCTCCAAGCCCCGGTTCCGTTTCTATATCTCACACTCGATGCCTCTGGATGCCGTCTTTCTTTTACTTCCATCCATACCTGGAGCCAAACGGGAGGATCATCTCAAAAGGTTAGCCCCGGTCAAGAGCCAAAACAAAACCGAAAAAAGAAAAACAAAACTATTGCCATGGTCGCCATCATCTTTCATGAGAGTTCGTGAGAGAGGAAATTTATATACCAACTGCCATCCGTCCGGAAAATATCTCGCCTTCCTGCCGCTCATGTGAGGATAAGCGGCAGGTTGTGCTTCGCTCAACAAGGTGCCGGGTCTAGTCGACCTCTTCGCACTGGGGTTTGGGTTGGGGGTTGGGGCATTAAGGGCATTAATGGTCAGCGCCGTTTCCAGTCCTGTCTGTTCTGAAGTGTCTGGGCAACAAGGTCGTCTGCTATGTGATTAGACGGCAAGGCAAACTTTCCTTGTCGCCATGTCATTAGCCAGATGAAACCTTCACCGACCGGCCCACTTCATCAGGAACTGCACCACGGCATCCAGATTTGTCTCCTGTTTAGCACTGATGCCGTAGCAGCAAACCTCACGGTGCTGGATGCTTTTCAGGTCCAGTTCGTCAATCAGTTCATCCACGGACAGCTTCTCGTCGAGGTCAGACTTGTTCCCGAGGACAAGCAAGGGGATCCCGCCTAGAGACGGGTGCGCCATGAGGGAGTGAAGCTCCTCCTTGGCCTGAGGGATGAGTTCTACATCCGCAATGTCTACGATGAAGACAATGGCGTTCACGCCACGACAATACCGCTCCCACATGGTGCGAAAACGCGGCTGCCCACCGATATCCCAACATTTGAGTGTAACATGGCCCCGTTGCACACGCTTCATATTAAACCCGACGGTCGGAATCGAGCTACACAACAATCACAGTCAGTAATCAGGCCTGCATTTCGAACACATCCTTCCACAGGATGCCATGGAGTCGATCCGACAACCGCCGGCCACCCCATGGCGCCAGGATGAACAAGAGGTCGACGAGGGATCGGGGCATGCGCTTACTCAAGTGTAAACTCTCCACCCTGCAAAACCGTACCAACAACCATCAGTCAGCCTAACTCAGCAGAGACTTATCATATCGCAAAAGAAAGGGAAGCCTACCGCCAGTACTCGCAACAACGACGTCTTTCCAGCGTTTTGCAACCCAACCATGGTCACCTCCATTTCCATCGCCCTAGCATCACCTGTCAGAATCCAAGCACAAGGCTCAAGGAAGAGGCAGGCGGGCAAGCTCAGGGCCGTTGGCGCTACGACGCAGCAACACCATGCTACCAAGCAGCGGTATCATAGGCCCCGCCTCAGCCCCTGCAAATAGTTACTACTCACCAGAACGTCCGCAGCAGCCAGTCATACACCTTCCTAAATAACCCAGCCATGTTTTTCAAATCGTTATGCAAGACAGCGATCGAATATCGGTACAAGAGAAGCGGATGGATGGAAAGAAGCACGCGAGATAGGGAGAGGAGATCGTATCAAATAGACGGTATCGCAAGAGGTCTAGTCGGCGGTACGAC